AGAGTGTTTGTTTTTGTAGCCGTGCTAAAGGTTGTAATTTTTGCGGGTTGTTAACATTTTGTTCAGAAACTTTCCTCGAGAAACTTTCCCCGTTGAACGCGCTGCGCAACTATGGCGATCGATGAGGAAAACTACGTCGTGTAAGAAAACACGAGAGTCACCCGGCAGCTTCTCTTCGCTGATTGGCCAGAAAAATTTTTTTCTGGCCAATCAGAAGCAGGCAATTCAAACGCTTCTGGAACTGGTTCGGTAAGAGTGGGCGCGATCCATTCAACCAAACTTTCCGGAAATTTCGGTCCAAAACTCAATGGATCGGTTCGGTCCAACCGGAAAAGTTTCGAAAAAACGGGTCCACCTTTTGAGGTGGTCCTCTTTTCCCGGTCGGACCGGTTGGAATTTTGGTTGAATGGATCGCGCCCAGTAAGTGCCCAGGGGCTCGTCTCGATCTTACAGTAAACTTTCACCACGAACATTTTATCGACCCCACTAACTGCCCCTGGGTCTCCGAGGATGCAAGACTACGTGCTAATTTTTGTTATATTTAAGCATTCTTAGTCAGGTCATTGACCCAAGACCCATCTCTTATCTGCATCACTGGATGTACATGTATTTATGTCTGCATTGCTTCTCTCCACCTGGTACAGTTTACTTCTCAGTTGGAGAGAGGAGTAGACCAGAAACAGATCTGCATTTGCAGGCTACCAGAGCATGCTTCCTTTAGAAAAAATTAACACAAAATTTTCTTAGCCTAGTTAGACACCCAGTGTTCAATGTCTTTTAAAATGTCTGGGTTACTATATTCAGAAAAACTGTTTATCACTATAAGTAACCAACACCACCATCTAATCTAATTCATGATATAGTCAACTTTGCTTGATATTTTCTTACAACCAGACTGTGAAAAGACCTTTAAGTCTTCTGGGAAGTATAATAGCTCATCTGCAATGCTGTTGAGGACTTGTTCAGTAACTGGATGTCCTTTCTTTTCCAAGTCTACTTTAGCGCACATTTTAATGTGAGATCTCTCCAAAGGTAAAAATGGGATAAAATAATGTATAAGATTTTTCTCTATGAGCGATGAATGCCAGAAACCACCTTTAGTATTAAACTCGCCAAGGTTAACAACCTTGTCCATCTCTTTAATACCAATGTCTTCTCTCTTCTTTCCCTCTTTCCAGTGTCGGAGGACTGCGTCATTGATCAGATGTCCTCCCGTATTGCTCAAAAATATAAAAATACTTCCTCGGAAGTCAACTTTGCCAACATCAGGGTAGAGGTCTAAGTAGGGCTTTAGTACATCTATGAGACCGATCGGCATTTTATCCATTTCGTCAAAAATGAACAGCGACCTTGAGCACTGTGACACTGAACTAGAAACCAAACTACGCAGATATCGTTTATAACGGTCCAATTCCGACTTGTGTGGGAAATCATGTGTGGCAATGATTTGATGGACAAATTTACTTTCCATCCCCTCCCTAAAAATATGCTCTGCAATGATCTTGCTAACAAAGTTTTTCCCAGATCCGGTCCAGCCGTTAAAAGAGAGTGCCAAGGCTTTGTTCGGTGATTTATTATTCAGATGTCTAACTATTGCCTTAAGCACTGTTTCGGTGACTAAATGCTGTCCAAACACGCCCCGTCGTAAAGCTGATTGCAGACCGGTGATGTTCGCCGAGATCCATCTATCTGTGCAACATTCTTTAAACCGACACCAAACTTTTGGAGCCACATAAGCTAAAGATCCAAACACAGCAGTCCCGACGCAACTTTCGATGATGAATGCCCTTCGAACTGGCGTAAAACACAACACGATAGATAGCAAAAAGACCCCACTCTTCGCCATATTGAAGCAAAGAATCGCGACAATTGTTTTCAGGGGGCTCTACAACAAACATGTTTATTATTATTATATTGGTCGTGGTAATTCCTTTGACCAATCAAATAAACCTTTAGAAAAGGAAGCGTAACGAGTGGTTACCAAGCGGAAGTTTCCGGGAAAACGCGCGTTATTTGATGCAAATCTCTTGTTCCTGCTTTTCCAAGAAAAAAATTGATGGAGCTGAGTTTGGAAAACATCTACTAAATGACCCCTATAAAGAAAAAGGTAAAGTCTGTTGAGGAGAAGGTTGAAGAAGTTGACGTCCCTCTTAGAGATGAAAATGTGAACAAGGCAATTATTCCTGATGCAACAGTTGGAGATAATTTTCTCTCCACGAAGCTTGTTAAAGGGAAACAAAACGAAAAAGGTAACACAGGGGATGAAGACGCGGACCATGCAGAGGAGAATGGATTTAATACAAGGAGAGAGCACCATGAGATCCCGTCAAATTCGCTTCCAAGAGACAGAGCTGCAGAGCATGGAGGAGGAACAGGAGTACCCGAGATCACAAACCACCCCGATGAACCATCCGATGAACCAACTGAGATCACGAAACAGCCCGACAAAGAACCTGCTAGCCCGATGATGTTGGCTGGTATCCTCTTAGTTGTTGCATTTTTGTTAGTTATCTTGGCTATCTTAATTGCCCCTGAAAAACCCAAAAGAAAACCTTTTGTCCTTCCTATAATCTTTGAAAATAAGATAAAAGAACTTCAATCTTCTTTCACTAACCAAACTGACCGGTTTTGGAAGATCCTAAAGAACCGTGGCTTGGCACATCTCAAAAAGGCCAGTCCGTCTCAGCCACTTGTATTGTTACTAGCTGCACCCCCAGCTGCTCACAGCACTGTGGACTGCTTTTCCAAGAAGCTTGCAGAGGGGTTAGATCCAGAATACAAGAGAATGTTAGTAACGATTGATGGAAGAGAAGAAAGGAATTACCCTGGTGAAGATACCAAGAAAAAGATGGATGATTTACTAAAAAGAAAGTTTATGGATGGCCACAGAGTAGCACTTGTTCATCACCTTGAGCCCCTCCCCTTACCAGCACCCCTGTTGTTTCACTCATATTGCGATAATCATAATGCACCGTATAAACATGTGGCAATCATCTTCACTGTACACTTGCCTGTCGAGCCAGATGCATCTTTAGAACCCAAAGAAGCAGAGAGAACAGTTGAGAAGTACCTCACTGACGAAGTTTGGGCAAAAGAAAATAAGGATGCAGTAGCTGATCTTTTGATCCGAGTTACAGACACAGTGGCTCTTATGAATGGTGAACCTAGTAGTTTAGCTACTTGTTAACTTGTTTTATATGAGACAAGATTTCATACATTTTACACATACAACTACACCCACAAGTAGGTGCCAGCAGAATCTAATCTTCATCAGCCATTACAAGCTAATGTAGCAATATTACACAGACGGTTAATAGTAATATTGAGCTTTTCATATTTTTAACTTAACCTAAAATATATTTGGTAACTGCATCATTTTTCCTTGATTTGTCTCTTTTCTGCAAAATGTATTGAGACATTTCATACAATCCACTCATGTCCTCTTACAAACACAAATCTATGACAGCAACCCTAAGAATTATAATAGCAGACCTATACCTGTCAAATTGAAATAGCCATTACTTGCTGCTATTAATCTGAAATGCCAGCTGTCTCCACCCCCTTTAATACTTGTGGGTGGAGCAGGGGGAGAGAGATGGCTTTGGGGGTGGAGACGGCTAGTATTTTTGGCAAAAAAATTTATAATCTGATTTATCACTGTCTATCCTAGTGTGAGCTGACTGAAACTGAGGTTACCAGTTAGTGAAACTTAAGTAACGCTAGATTTTGCATTGAAAAACTTTGGATGATATGAACAGCAGTACTGTATTCACCATTTTTATATTAAGACCATAGTCCACCTTTGTTGCCCCCAAAACTCTGCAAAACCATTGTTTCCAGTTTCTCCCGGGTATTACAGTCATCCAAAGAGAAATTGAAGATAACGGTTATACAAAATTTGGGTGGTGTGGGGGGGTGGGGGGAGGTGAGGCAAACAAGTTTCATTATGGTTTGTGTAAAAATGGTGAAGTTTCTTTCTTTAGCCTGTGCCCCTGAATGGCTGCATGGGCTAAGTAGGGGATAATATTGCATTAGGCCATATCCTGCATTTAGTATCTCAGATTTCTTCTTTATGGACTTGAATTTTGTAATCATGTTGACCATTTCTTTTAAAATTGAATACCCAAAGCATATGTCATGGTAGTATGTAACATATGGCTCAGGTTCTTTTTTTGGTCATGTGGTGAATAAAATTCTGGCAGCTGGTATGTCAACCATGTATGAGAGTAAGAGAAAATGCACAAGAGCTGCTAGAATAGACGTTTGTGGCAGCCATTTTGTCTCAGGAGTTTAAAAAGCTTTGTTTATGCACAGCTAGCCTTTTAGAGAGAATGTGGCTAGCCGTTCATAAACAAAACTTTTTTTTTTGTTTTGTGATTTTATGATGTAAAATTTCTAGGCCTAAACAACTTACCAATCTTTTACGCTGATGTTCTTAACACCTGGGCGGAAGTCCGAAAGCAAACTTCGGACAATGAAATCTGTGTTGAGAATGTAATCTTATGGAATAATAAGCATATTTTAATAGACGGTAAATCAGTATATTGGAAAGAATGGCATGAAGCTGGTATACTTAGAATTAAAGACCTACTAGATGAAAAAAACAGATTCCTCACACTTAATAAGTTTCTTTTAAAAACTGGCCTCAAGGCGCCTTTTACTAAGTTATTTGGTTTAATATCAGCTATACCTTATAGATGGAAGTGCGCTTTGAGACCGGGATTTATCATGAACAATCAAGATATGGAACAAAATACAACTAAGGAAATTAACGTGGTTACTAGCAAGAAGGTTCGCAATATACTTATTCAAAGGAAATTTGTAGAACCGTTGGCTAGCCTTCGACTATGCAGGCAAGGATTGGACAGTTCCAAACTTAGTTCTATTTATATGCTTCCATTTAAAATAACTAAAGAAACAAAATTAAGCATATTTCAATATAAGATTGTTCATAATATTCTTCCACATGGGGTTCTGTTACACAGAATGAAAATCGTAAACTCTCCTCTCTGCATACATTGTGATTCCCTAGAAACGCTCTCCCATATGCTAGTTAACTGTATAGTAATTCAAAAGTTTTGGTTTGAAGTAATTAGCTGGTGGAAAACTCACAGTGGTGAATGTTTGCTATTTGATGACTTAAGTATAATGTATGGCTATAATCCCGAAGATCCTAAAAGGCAAATCCTTAACTATTATATCCTTCTTGGCAAGAGACATATCTTCCTGCAAAGGAGCGAAATTAAACCCCCAAGCTTTGATCACTTTCTTGAATTCGTTAAAGACAAGTTAATTGTACAAAGATCGATTTTTTATTCCAAAGGACAAAAAGCAAAATTTCTTTCACAATGGAAGCCTCTCCTCTCCTTACTGTAAATGATTATAATCTAATCTACGTATGCGTGAAGCAAGCCTGGTTACAGTGTATGTTGTATTAATCGTTGGAATCTTAATTCTTAATTGTAATTTTTTGTAACCTTAAATTTTGTAGTGAAAGTGTTGTAAGTGATGTAGTGGTAATAAAGATCTCTGTTAATAAAAAAATAAATAAATAAATAAAAAAAAATAATAAACAAAACTTTTTAATCTCCTGAGACAAAATGGCCACTGCGTTTCAAAGGTCTATTAGGCCTGCTCTCAGGTTAACTTGAATCATAATGAAGCTTAGGTTAACTTTGCCTTATCTGATAACCTGTTGGATGGATGTATTATTATAATGTCACATTCTAATTAAACCAATTGAATCTCCCACAATTAATTAGCATTTGACCTCTAGTCAGGTCTTAATACTCAGGAGTATAGCCAGCTTTTTGACTAGTTGTAGGCCTGGCTGACTTTCATTTTCCACACATCCTGAAAATTGCAGGCATGACTAGCGCATACTGACCTAACCAACACTTTGAGCTCTTAAGCTATTTACCTCACCCCAACAATGAATAATTTATTTCAAGCGGTAGAGTGATCAATTCAAAAATTTGTAGGTGCGGGGCTACAGGTCTTAGGCTGGCTACACCCCTGATACTGATGCATTGGCTGAGGTTCAGAAACAGTAATCACCTTAGCAACTTAATAAATCCACAGACCCCGGATGTTTTTATAAGGGTTAGTGTTAGGGAAATGGTATTATTTCTTTGAAAAAAATATGTATGCTCAAACGTTGTTTCCACTTATTTACAGCCTGCAAGCAACCTCTTCATTTTCTTCAACTGACGATCTTATTCCACCTACTTATAAATTGTATTGTTTACAAAATTAACAGGGTTCGTACAGAGTCTTTAATTCTTGAAAAAGTCTTAAAATTTGACCAGCAATTTTCCAGACCCTGAAAAAGTCTGGAAAATCGGGGTGAGTCTTGATAAAATGGCTAATCATCTTGATGATCAAGTGCTTCACAGGTGAAATGTTTTTGTGTTGGTCAAAATTCAATCCCGCCTGCATGTCATGTACAAAGCTTTGTTCCTGTGTGTGTGTGTGTTTTTAAGGTCTCTGTTTACCACCTATTTGATAACCTTGAGTCTGGAAAAAGGAATTATTGTTTTGGAAAAAGTCTTGAATTTTGGATCAAAAATCTTTACGAACCCTGATTAGTACATGTATACTTGTAAACCTCATTTTTCTCTAGTTCTGTAAAGTATGCCTCTTCTGTTAAATATGTGTGTAGCCACTGCTTGCCTCAACGAGCTCTTACTAACTGCAGGCAGTGCACATGTTTGTAAGATTTAATATATAGCAAAACAATCAACTGAACAAAGTGGGGCATATTGGAAAAAGTCACACTTGAGTAGCATACCAAAGGAGACTCCAGGGACTCCAGTTACTGGCCACTAAAGATATCGTATCCGCTTTATTGAAGTTTACCTGTATAAAGATTATCAGTAATTCTTTAACTGCAGTTAAGTTTCAGGTGTTTCTATGATACGCTTGTAGCAAGTTCATATTTAATCTGTTGTCATGAATTTTTAGATCAGATCCTCTAACTGTAAAATACCATTATTGTATGTGTGTACCTTAGTTGGGGATTTTTCTGTATTTATTTAAAAGAGCTGAAATGGAATAAATGTCTTCAAAGAAAAAACCCTAATCATGGGCACCCAACAACTGTTTCCTCCTAAATGCATTTATATCTGTTCGGTCATCCTAGAGCAACTTGAGTCTTTTCGAAGTTACCAGGACTTCACTATTATTTTACCGAAAATTTTAGATGCCAAAAACTTAAAGTTTTGCAAAGGTGAGAATTTTTCTGATTCCTCTTTCCATCCTATTTTCGAATCCGAAGAATTTAGGTTTCCTTTCTCTGCGGAAAAAAAGCTTAATCTGGGTTTAATCCCTCACCTATTTAGATCCTTGAAATTATTCGACTGTAATCAAAGGTTTTCCCTTCTACGCAAAGAAATAATTAATGCCATATTGCGAAACCTAAAAATGTTTCTTTGATAAAAAACATAAGTTCCCGCGGCCAACCACTTAAACATCAAGGAGAATATAGTTCAAAACTACTTAAACATAGCATTGTTAAACGTATTTTAGTATTTAAACGGTAGATATAGGCATATTTTTATCCCCTAAAAATTTTTCATCTGTTCGCATTTCCTAGCTGAAAGTCTAGTGATCCGAAAATTATAGGGATCAAAACTTACCTTTTCGAAAATTCCAGCCAGAAAAAAGGCTCCCGAAAATTCTAGGTGACCTTTTTAGGATAAAAATCCGTTACAAATTGGCAATTATACCATTTTTTAGATGTTAGAAAATCCTAGAAGAGGCAAGCAAGCAAGAAATTTTACAACAAATGTCCCGAAAGTTCTAGATCTCAAATCGTCTTCCGAACAGATATTTTCCGAAAATTGTCGTTGGGTGCCCCTGAAACATACCCCATACCTAGACCAAAGGTTTGGGGAAAAAATTTCTTACCCAAATCAAATCACCCATACCCACATCAAAAGTCAAATCGTCGACCCCCTACGATGGATTCTTTGAGGTTAAAAGCAAACCTCATCTTGAAAGGCTAAATGGCCTCTGAGAGTATTCCCGGTCCACTACAAACACGGTCTGAAAGCTCATAAATTTACTGCCCACCCCCGTTCCCCGCTTTCCATTTTCTTCAATTTCCTGCTCTCGTTTTTGTTTCCATTCTCTCACACCAAAAGCTAAATTAATGTATAGCTTTAGCAAGGGCTAAAAGCGAAGCTCTTGATGATATTTAAATTTTGCTCACACAAAATATAAAATCGTGTAATGCTAAGCGGCGAAGGCAACGAGAACGAGATAAACTAACATCAGAGCCAGGCCAGGGCACGGCCAGGGCTCGAGCCAGGACTTCGAGCCTGGACTCGAGCCAGGACTCGAGCCAGGACTCCGGTTAGGACTTTCCTAATCTAGTAAACAAAAGTAAAATCAAAGCAACAAAAAGGACTCCTAACATAACTCGTCAACTCCTAACCCTAACATAACCCTAACCTCACCCTAACCCTAACCCTAGCCTTAACCCTAACCCTAGCCTTAACCCTAACCTAACCCTAACCCTAGCCTTAACCCTAACCTAACCCTAACCCTAGCTGGAGCTTTCCTTCCATGATTGCCACGAAAACCCTCCTCTTAATGGTGATGGGGAGAGGTGAAAAATTGTCGAGTTTTGCGACGAGTCCTGGCTCGAAGTCCTGGCCCGCGTCCTGGCTCGGTATATAGACATAACGAGAACGATGAAAAAAACAACAATAGGTCTAATTAGCAAAAAACACTGAAAAAAGCAACTTTGCAGTGCAACACACTTTTTTTGTACATTTCTTTGCCGTTGTTTTGCACGACTTCAACGTGAAACTTCTAGAAACTTTTCACCGTCGCTCATTTTCATTCTAGTGGCCGCTAGCATTTCTCATTTTCTCACCGCCGCTACAAAATTCCATGTTGTTCCTCCAACAAAAAGTGTCTTCTTTGTTTTTTCTCTCTCGCTCTAGCTCTTTTTCTCGTTGAGCATCGCTGGCCTGTCGCCCTACTTTCTCTTTTTCTCTGTCTTTCTCTTTCTCTATATTCCAAATTTGTGGACACGACAATTAATCAAAGCTTGATACTTTATAAGACAACACGGATACAGAGACAATTTCCGCTTTCCGTTTTCGTCTTTATTGACTCTTTAGTTGTCCCTGCTTCACGTGGAGCGGGTGGCCATACGCTTTCCCGCCAAAATAACCTGACATCTTGCATTGGCTAACATGAATTGTGTGTACGGACGGGCGGGCGTACGCTACGTCATGACCAAATTGTTCTTGCTTTCATAGGTTACCAAGAAAATGTACAACCCTTCTTCCGTGTACCAAAAAACGGTTATACTAAGTTTTAAAATAGATCACACATCTAGAGGTATCTTCCTCCTAAGAAACAGGCTTATGTGCTCACTGGCAACTCCTCTACTGAGCAGCCTGGCTAATGCATTTGTCAGTGCCCTCAGTGTAACACCTGAAATAAAATAATTACATCAATCCTGTCGCTGAGATTCGAGGCCCTAAGTTCCTTTTCCAACAAGGTCACGCAAAAAGTCACAAGAAATTTGCACTTTAACCACGTACAGAACCCCCATACTGGGGACAATGGATCCTAACCACTATAATTATTGCACTACAATATTTCTTATCGTTGTAAACACATGTGTCTGTAGGCACTCTGTTGATAATAAAGCACTTATCCTATCCTATCCTATCCTATCCTGTGCAAAGACCCCCTCCCTGACCCCACCCTGGTCAATGTTGTTCAGTCAAGAGCAGAAAATATCCAGTTGGACTTCAGCATATTTTGTTTTCTGGAGAAGGGAAGGGGAAGTATTGTAATCAACAGTGCTTTGAAGAGCTTTATCTTGAAACTTCTGATGAAACTAGACTTAGTAATGTCCACTTTTCTTGACATTAATTTATTGTTCAAGATAATTGAAGGTTTTAGCCAAAAAGGTGTCCAGGTGTCCAGTGGATTAGGCTGTGAATGGATTATTCCAGAAAAAATCTACACTCGCACGATGGAAGGCATGCTGGAAAAGCTCATGGGAGAGGGGGTTAACAGCTCTGGAAATCTAGATTGTACTCATTTTTCTTGTTATGAAAGTCTTCCAAAAGGGTACAATGAAACTAGTGAGTACAGCCACCCCCTCCCCTCGGCCTCTCAGAAAAAATGGCCCCTTGGCAGCCCAGTTAAAATCCTCTTTCAACGATTCTTGTTTCTCAACAAAGAAGACGACCTTTTAATCGAGTACATAGAGCTGTATTGTAGTATATTTTGCTGTAAATTTTGCCTGTTCTGGGAAAAAAGAGAAGTTCACTCACATGTGAGCTTATTTCCAAAATGTGTAAGCCTTTTATGTGAAAATTTAATCTTAACTTTCACAACAAACACAGAAATCAAGGAGAATTGAGGCTTATTTAATAAAAGATCATCTAAATGCCTAAAAGAATCATATACATCGAGTGCAAATTAAAATTGCGGTCTCTAACAATTTCATGGAAATCTGGATGGGTGGGCAGTCTTTGAACTTGGAAATCCTGAAAGGAGGGGAGGGGGGCGCTCATGCAGTTTCGGAATTCGGGTGGAACGGGGGTCAAAAAAACGTGCCTTCCGTTGTGTGAGTGTGGATTTTTCTGGAATAACCCAATGCAGATGTACATGTATTTACGGTCATCGCTTCTCTCCACCCATTACAGTTTACTTTTTATTTGGAGAGAAGCGCCGACTGGAAACAGATCTGCATTTGCAAGCTACTAGAGGATGCTTCCTTTTAGAAAAAATTAACACAAAATTTTTTTAGCCTAGTTAGAAGCCCATTGTTCAATGTCTTTTAAAAAAGCCTGGGTTACTATATTCAGAAAAACTGTCGCTACAAGTAACCAACACTACTATCTAATCTAAAGCATGATATAGTCAACTTTGCTCGATACTTTCTTACAACCAGACTGAGAAAAGACCTTTAAGTCTTCTGGGAAGTATAATAGTTCATCTGCAATGTTGTTAAGGACTTGTTCAGTAACTGGATGTCCTTTCTTTTCCAAGTCTACTTTAGCGCACATTTTAACATGAGATCTCTCCAAAGGTAAAAATGGGATAAAATAATCTATAAGATTTTTCTCGATGAGCGATGAATGCCAGAAACCACCTTTAGTATTAAACTCGCCAAGGTTAACAACCTTGTCCATCTCTTTAATACCAATGTCTTCTCTCTTCTTTCCCTCTTTCCAGTGTCGGAGGACTGCGTCATTGATCAGATGTCCTCCCGTATTGCTCAAAAATATAAAAATACTTCTTCGAAAGTCAACTTTGCCAACATCAGGGTAGTGGTCTAAGTAGGGCTTTAGTACATCTATGAGACCGATCGGCATTTTATCCATTTCGTCAAAAATGAACAGCGACCTTGAGCACTGTGACACTGAACTAGAAACCAAACTACGCAGATATCGTTTATAACGGTCCAAATCCGACTGGTGTGGGAAGTCAAGGGTGGCAATGATTTGATGGACAAATTTACTTTCCATCCCCTCCCTAAAAATATGCTCTGCAATGATCTTGCTAACAAAGTTTTTCCCTGATCCGGTCCAGCCGTTAAAAGAGAGTGCCAAAGCTTTGTTCGGTGATTTATTATTCAGATGTCCAACTATTGCCTTAAGCACTGTCTCGGTGACTAAATGCTGTCCAAACACGCGCCGGCGTAGAGCTGACTGCAGACCGGTGATGTTCGCCGAGATCCATCTATCTGTGCAACATTCTTTAAAACGACACCAAACTTTTGGCGCCACATAAGCTAGAGATCCAAACACAGCAGTCCCGACGCAACTTTCGATGATGAATGCCTTTCGAACAGGAGTAAAACACAACACGATAAATAGCAAAAACACCCCGCTCTTCGCCATTTTCGAGGGACTTTATAACAAACACTTCTATTGGTCGTGGTAATTCCTTTGACCAATCAAATAAACCTTTAGAAAAGGAAGCGTAACGAGTGGTTACCAAGCGGAAGTTTCCGGGAAAACGCGCGTTATTTGATGCAAATCTCTTGTTCCTGCTTTTCCAAGAAAAAAATTGATGGAGGTGAGTTTGGAAAACATCTACTAAATGGCCCCTAAAAAGAAAAATGTAAAGTCTGTTGAGGAGAAGGTTGGGGAAGTTGACGTTGAAAATGTGAAGAACAAAAACATTGCTGATGCAACAGTTGGAGATAATTTTTCCTCCGCGAAGCTTGTTCAAGGGAAACAAAACGAAAAAGATAACACAGCAGGTGAGGACGCGGGCCCTGCAGAGGAGAATGGATTTAATGCAAGGAGAGAGCACCATGAGATCCCGTCAAATTCGCTTCCAAGAGACAGAGCTGCAGAGCATGGAGGAGGAACAGGAGTACCCGAGATCACAAACCACCCCGCTGAACCATCCGATGACGCAACTGAGATCACGAAACAGCCCGACAAAGAACCTGCTAGCCCGATGAGGTTGGCTGGTATCCTCTTAGGTGTTGCATTTTTGTTGGTTATCTTGGCTATCTTAATTGGCCCTGATCCTGTAAAGCCCGAAAGAAAACCTTTTGTCCTTCCAATAATCTTTGAAAATAAGATAAAAGAACTTCAGTCTTCTTTCACTAACCAAACTGACCGGTTTTGGAGGATCCTAAAGAACCGTGGCTTGGCACATCTCAATAATGCCAGTCCGTCTCAGCCACTTGTATTGTTACTAGCTGCACCCCCAGCTGCTCACAGCACTGTGGACTGCTTTGCCAAGAAGCTTGCAGAGGGGTTAGATCCAGAATACAAGAGAAGGTTAGCAACGATTGATGGAAGAGAAGAAAGGAGTTACGCTGGTGAAGATACCAAGAAAAAGATGGATGATTTACTAAAAAGAAAGTTTATGGATGGCCACAGAGCAGCACTTGTTCATCACCTTGAGCTCCTGCCACCACCATCACCCCTGTTGTTTTACTCATATTGTGATGATCAGAATGCACCACATAAACACGTGGCAATCATCTTCACTGTACACTTGCCTGTCGAGCCAGAGGCCTCTTTAGCACCCAAAGAAGCAGAGGGAACAGTTGAGAAGTACCTTGCTGACACAGTTTGGGCAGCGGAGGACAAGGATGCAGTCGCTGCTCTTTTGAGCCGAGTTGCAGACACAGTGGCTCTTATGAATGGTGAACCTAGTAGTTCAGCTACTTGTTAACTTGTTTGATATGAGACAAGATTTCATACATTTTACTCATGCAGGTACACCTGCCAATAGGTGCCAGCAGAATCAAATCTTCACCAGCCATTACAACCTATGCTTTAGTCAATGTAGCACTTTGAGACCACAGGGGCCCACACAATCTGTGTATCTAACTGATTGTTATTTTATAGTAAATGTATGAGCTTTACTGTTTGCCTCAGCCGTAGCGATATATCGCTAAGTATGCAATCTATATGAATCAATGTTAAATAAAGCGGAGATCGTCTAAAAGCTCTACAGAGCTTGCTTGATCTCCTGCCTTGTAGTAATGTAATAGGTTATGTGTGTACAAATGAATGTATGGTAAATAAAGGCGCTTCTTCTCTCTAATAAACATTGAATTACCTCACCTGTGGTAAACTGTCAAACTTTTGCCTCAAAAGGGTTTTTTTGAGCCATTTTGAAGGATTTTGAGTTCGCCGTTTACTGTTTTTAATAACAGAAGGACAAGGCAGAATCCACGTTTTGAAAGGGCTCCAGCATCGGAGCGATTTACCCCCAGAAAATTGCGTTGCTACAATTTTTAAACTTTGCAGCAAAAAGGTTGAAAGATTCACGCTTCTTCTTGTACCTTCCGATAAAAAATCTGTCCAAAAGGCCAAGAGCTAGCTGTCACAGAAAATTAAAATCCCACAGTTTTTGATCCGTAGCAAGATTCATATGTGCCAGTTAGAAACCATCCCGCTGATTTCCTCTTTTTAATTGGATGTCGTTAGCCAAATAGAAAAATAGTAACTGAGTTAAAGAAGACTTTATAAGCGTTTATTATTTCGCAAAATCCAATCAAAAAGAGGCAATCAGTGGGACAGTTTCTGACTGGCAGGTATGAATTTTGGCCATTCAAAAACTGTGGGATTTTAATTTTCTTTGAGGGCTAGCTCCAGGCCTTTAGGATGGATTTTTGATCGGAAGGTGCGAGAAGAAGCATGACTATTTCGACCTTTTTGCTGCGAAGTTTGAAAGCAGAGCGATGCAATTTTCTGGGGGAAAATCACTGCATCACTGGAGCCCTTTCAAAACACTGATTCTACCCTTGTCCTTCTATTATTACACAGGAAAAAATAACGGATTCCCATTTTTGGATATTTTAGGGTCTTTAAAGAATACCCATAAAAATCCCAAATTTGGCAAAGTGAGACAAGTCCCAACCAGGGAATTCCCAACCAAGTTCCCTGATTGGGACTTGTCTCACTCTTCCAAATTTGGGATTTTTGTGGGTATTCTTTAAATTCCCTAAAATANTTTAATGGGTTTGAAATAAACGAGGCATTAACAAGAAAAAGTGGAAATGTAGAAATTGTTACGAACTTTATTAATTCATAATAGTGTAACTGACAAATAAGGCCAGTTATTTAAACGGAGTTTAGGCAGTGCTTAATAAAACTGGGTTCTAAGCAATTCATTCAGTTTTTTCAACGCTTTTATCTTAACACTGTTTATCATTAAAAGTTGCATGAAAGCATCATGCCTTGCCTGAAGAAACACTTATTTTCTTAAAATAACCCACTATGGAAGAGATCTGTCCAAAGATTTGCTAAGCCGCGGCCTAAGTTAGACATCGCTTAAACAACCGACCCATAATGTTTAATGAAACTTTTATTTACTTGTGCAACACTTCTTAATTGTACGTCATTAACACGCGACTGAATTGGGATGTTTCTTTAGTAGACAGAGGTTGCAAATGTCATGGACGTGATTAAATGTTTACATCTCAGTATAGTGCCTTATTTTACCATTAGCCTTGAAATATGAAATGTGTGCACTAGTTTTGACGACTAGAATATGCGTGACTATGGAACCAACCAATTTTAATTAAGCAACTGCAAGATTAAGCTTACCCGACTGGATCTTCGTAGCAGGTCGGCTTTCTCTTATTAAAAGTAGTTCCTCGAAGTTCCAGAGCATAGGCAAAAACAGCCGTCTTTCGTGTAGCTTCACAGAACCAAATGAATAGGTTATATCATCGCATCTGTTTATAAAGGCTTACCAATGCAAGGTTCATGTCTGACAAACATTCGAAAAGCTACCGATAGTAATGATATGCAAATTGTATTTGTGTGATGCATGAAAGAAAAAAAGAACAATTATTCATTTGAAAATCTGAAATAAAGTTTGTGGTATTTTATTGGTTGCATTTCAAAAGTAAATCTACAGTTAAATAAAAACACCAGCAGTGCTTACTGATCCCCCGATATATTCCACTGTTGAAATTTCTTCAAAAATATTTGGTATGCGTCATTGATCTGGTTTTGTAACATAGTAGTGACTAAAGGACACTTGATTTGAAATCATAGTGAAAATGAAGTTGAACCGTGTTTTACAACATACGATAATAGTAATAAAACGAAATAATGCAGAAATTTCAGGCTCTAAACGAAAAAACGGGCAACAAAAAATGTGCAACTTGTTTTGCAAGTTTGCTGCAAAATGAGCTGAATAGCGATGTTGCACATGTTACCACCCACGTTCAAACCTGTTTACAACCTGATTTTGTTGCAAGACGGGTTTGTTTGTGGTGTTAAATTTCCAAAATTTCTATTCAAACCCTTTTTGTTAAAATTTTCCCTTTTTTTTTAAAAAAAAAAAAACCATAGTTCCCCCCCCCACCCCCTAAACCAGCCCCCTAAATCCCCCCCCCCCCCCCCCCGCGCCTATCGTTTTCTCCCTCGCCCCTACTCCATAAACTATCAATGGCCAGTCCCTAATTGTTCATGATTAAGAACAGGTTACCCAGGCCTCTTAGAGTGAGTTTTTCTTAAACCGTGAAACAGATAATAACAACTTGTGCAAAATAGCTACAAATTCACAAAGGAAGACGATAGAATTGGTGCATAATAATAGTGCGTAGTAATCTACTTCCTATTTCACGGGTTAAGTAAAATCACTCTAATAAATACGCGCTCAAACTTCATGGATAGACGGAAAACAACTTCATGTCCACTTCATTAGTTTATTCCGATTTTTATTTCTTGAATAAAGGTTTATTTTACCCTTCAGTTACCTTTCACGAAGGTTTACAACTATTTTGACAAGTCTTTTTAAATTCAGTGACCTCACGGAATTAAATTATTTATTTATAAAAAATAACATCAAAGTATTTCTATTTCCGAGAAAATAACGTCTTAACTAGAAATCTTGACAGTTGAAAAATTAACTCTTGTCGATAACAAGATCGTTAAAAACGTAATCATTCTTCTGGAGGCACATTTGACCAAGGCCAGTTTGCATCCGAGCACTGGATTGGATATTTGTCTGTAAAGGAAAATATTAAAATATCATTCTTTTAATCATACGGGACGTGTGAATTATCTCTATGAAACTGAAGGTTCACTTAATCGGGTATTGATGTGGCTACTAGGACTATCTTACAGTATCTGCTATTTTAAAAAGACCCACACAGAAGTGGACGAGAATGCCTTGAGTCTGCTTTGGGTAGATAATTGACAATTATTCTTTGAAATCGAAGTGAATAGTGGCTATTATTTACCGAGCCGCGAAAATCGACCAATCACAAGCGTTGTGGCGCATGTGACGTTGTGACGCAAGTGATATACTATTAATAGTTGACACTACAGCTGCCCCCGCTCTGTATATTGTCTGTCAATAGTATTCTTGAAATATATCGATTCCGTAATGAAGATTTTCACACATATTCCAT